TTTTTATGTGAGACCATTTTTCATGCATGAAAAACTCTTACACAACTTTATGTAAAAACGTTGTTCGATGGCCACGAAACTAGTTTTCATGCTCCTCATTTGTGATTATGAAGATCATGTAATTTACAAAATTTAATTTGAATAATTTGATTAGCCTGTGGAGAAGAAGATAATTTTAGGATTTATGATTGTAATATTCATGCATGAAAATTAGAATTGAAGAGTTTTAAGAAAAAAATTACTTCAAACGATTGTCAAACTTATTTGCATAGCCTTATATGTGAACATAAGTCTCATACAATATTCAAAATGAAGATTTGAGTCCTATAACAATCTCATGAGAGAAAATGATAATTTAAGGGTATTAGTGATTAAGGTTGATTTTAGGTTTATCTTTGGGTTTGATTAAAAAGTGATTATATTTGAAGTTTGTTTTGAATGATATTAATTTTTATTAAGTTAAAACTCAGTTTTATTAAATTAGGGTTTGTTCAAGATTTAACACAAATGAAATCCAATTAAACTTAAGCCAGAAAAATGGGTTTGACCAAAAATAAGGTCAACTCACCAGAATTTATTACATGCTATTCATACATTAATAATGAACCAAATATAGCTTAAAACAAGAAATTCCAAGCATTACAATTATATGTAGAGAGAACAATAATTTTGGGACATAAAAATTATAATTTTGGAATATTCCCTCGTCGAGTTGCGTTTCGATCTAATTTTAGGATTTGAATGAAGTTAATTATATTTGATTTATATTTCATGTGATTTATTCTAAGCTTGCCTAAGAGATTTGAAGTGAATGTGGTCAACAAGTATCATATACATAAACTTTAGTGGTTCATCGCTTACGGTACGAAGATAATTCATCCTTCAAAATTTGATTAGTTGCACTCGCTTACGGTACGGAGATAATTCATCCTTCAAAATTTGATTAGTTGCACTAGAATTCTTAGATCTAAGGAGCCCGAGAAATTTGGAGTCGGTATTGAGAAACCTTTTACGTTCGAATTCCGGACACAATATTTTTTCTGTAAATGAGCACCTACAAGTTTTGTTGAACTGTGGTAGACTCGAGTTCAATAGGAGAAATTTGTCCTTCTTACCGTCTAACGGTGAGGTAAAAACTCTAAAGTTAAAAAACTAATTTTGAACCATTAAATGTAGATAAAAATTATTTGTTTTTGTATTATTGCATCAAGTCAATATTTATTTGTTATATTATTGTGAAGCTATTTTGATTCTGAGATTTATAAACAGTCGTTGATGATCACAATCACTCAGCCGTTAATCTAAAAAACGTTCCCTCTAAAGATCACGAAGTGCAGTGCGAGAAATAAGACGTGCTTCATACGGCAGCGAGGAACCAAGTCAGCCTCCACAGTACGGTACAATAAATGGTCTTCTCTCCATCTGATTTTTATTTCGGCGGTCTATTTAACCCTCAATCCCAATTCTTCCTCCCATTCCCCACTCTTCCAATCTTCCTATATATCGCCGGCGATGCGGGCAACAGCGGGGGACCGCACTGGCTCTCTGGCGGCAACAACATCCATGTCCTTCCGCGGTTTCTCTGCCTTGAGCCTCCGCCGTCATCAAGTGGCTTCCCTGGAACCCTCCAGCGAGGAGGAGCTCCATCTCCTTGATCTCCTCCATTCCCGCCTCACCGAATCCCTCCAATCCCTCCTCCCCTCACCCGACTCCAAAATTCCCTTGCCCTCTCTCACCCTCTCCTTCCCCTTCCTCCACAAACTTCTTGATACCCTTCTCGCCTGCGAAAACGATTTCAAATCCCTTCTTCTCCTTGTCCTTTCGCGAAACCCTAGCCTCATCTCCCGCCCGCCTCTGGACCCC